GGAAATGGTCCAGTTTCATTCTTCTGCATGTGGCTGTCCAATTTTCCCAACACCATTTGTTGAAGAGACTGTCTTTTTTCCATTGGACATTCTTTCCTGTTGTTGTTCCTTTTCTTAAAGAAGTTCTTCCAAAATTGTGTGTACATCAGGCCCTGAAAACCTGGATCATCCTCTGCCACCAAGATATGGAAAGATATATATGTCAAGTATAAGCAAATGATTGGTTTATGTCTGGCTTTGTTCTGGTCTTGGCCCAGCTAGCAAGTGTGGAGGGTTTCTTCCAAATGTAGGCAGGGTTTCACATCACAGCCCAGAATGAATAGAAAGAAAATTCATCTTCAGAGAAAAAAAGACAATATCAGAGGGCGGAGAAGTAGTTACTTCGCTTGGTCTCTGCGTTATCTTCTCCCACTGTGGTAGAAGACAAGAGCCTTGTGGTGCCAGGACAAGGTAACACACCTTTCTTTAAGGTGAATGGAAAACTGTTTAATCGGTTCAGTAAATGCAGTCCCAGTTGCATGTTATTCAAAGCCCCGGAGTACGAACAGATATTGAACCAGTTTTCCAAGGGCAAAGCTCCAATTATTGTATGAATATTCACAAACTGCTATAAACCATGAACGCCTTCCAAGCACTATCTGCTATTCATGCCTCTCTTCATGCTGCCCCTGAAGGAACTCATGCTTGGTTCCTATTTAGACATCTTATTAACCCAATGGAGGAGAGCCTCTGAGTGTGAGTGTGGATGGCAGTTCGTTCCCCTTTTTCCCCGAAATGCCTATCAGGTTATTTTTAACTAGCAGATACTGTATCTTAGAGATATGCTGCAAAAATATTGTGAGTTCAGAAATCAAGAAAACCTTCCATTGGGAGAAAAAAACAATAGTGAGTTTTACACTATAGCAATGTATAACTATTGTAGTTCTTAAAGACTTACTGCAAATCTTTCAATTTTGTTTTTTTAACCACAAAAAGAGAAAAGATGGACTCTGAGAAACCATAACCCCAAACAACTGAAATTGAAAGGCCTCATATGCTTCCAAGCATCTACATAAGTCCAAACATCTGACTAAAATAAATATACAGATAGTTAATGTTATCAGTTTTATAATGGGCAAATTAACTTGTTAGGAGTAAAAAACTTGAATCACTATGTACACCTGAAACTGATGTAACATTTTGTGCCAACCATATTCAATAAATAATTAAATAAATAAGATTTCAATTAAATTAAATTTATTTATTTAAGGGGAAAGAAAAGAATATATCTCACCTCTTTGTGTTTTAAGTTTTCTTCTCCCCATCTCCAAGCAAGTGCCCATAATAGACTTTTTTCTGTGCGCTGTACTTGAGATTTAAGCTACAACAATTCTTTTGTTGTTGTTCTGAATTATTTTTTAAGATTGTCGCTATTGGTTTCATACTCTAGCTTATTCAGACATTTATTTAAGATGGCTAAAAAGGGGCAAACTACACAACAGGATTAAATAAATGAACAAAAACCATGAAACAGAGAAATCGACTTATCATGCATTGGATTGAAAACAGGAGAAAGTGGGGGGATGAGAAAAAAAAGAGAAATGGAGAGGAATTTTCATTGCAATTAAAAACAGAGGTTTATGGGCACCTGGGTGGCTCAGTCGATTAAGCGTCTGCCTTTGGCTCAGGTCTTGATCCTAGGATCCTGGGATCGAGCCCCGCATTGGGCTCCCTGCTCTGCGGGGAGTCTGCTTCTCCCTCTCCCACTCCCCCTGCTTGGGCTCTCTCGCTCTCTCTCTGTCAAATAAATAAATAAAATCTTAAAAAAAAAAAACAGAGGTTTAAAGTATTACAAGTCTTTTCTCCTATTTCATGAGATTCGATAACCCTTTATAAGTCTGAAGGTTTTGTTGTGACTTACATTGACTTGAATACATAGAGACTGTTTCATTTGTTGGGACATGAATGGAAGAGGATGTGCAGTGGGATCAAGGTAATTGTGACTAGGGTGTTAGAGGTTTGCACAGAAGCCCAAAGGTACAGTGGCTGTTTCTGTGTCAGACCAAGTGTACAAAATGTGCAGGATTCTCAAATCATTTGCCCCCAAATGGATTCCATGCTTTCTTCGAAAAGAACTGCCATGTTTTTCACTTACTTGGCTGTTTTGGGGTTTTTTCCCAGGTTTGCTTCGTGAACCTGGATGTGAACAAGGATGCGTGCAGCACGGAGCACCTGCAGCAGGTAACACTGGGAACATGAGCTCTCTGGGAGCTCATGACAAAGGCTGGCTGCACCAACCAGAGAGCAGACATGACTTCATCTACAAGTAGTGCTCATTCAACTGGAAACTCTTTAGTTGAATGGCTTCATCACAACCCATTCCCTGACCCTTTCCCTGCCACCTCCCACACAGATTGCCTTCCTTATACTTGGGAACCTTGCTTTCCCACTATAATAGGGCTGCTCTCCAAACAGGTGCTTTCCCCTGCGTGGGGCCTGATAGTGGCTTTGTCTGCCCCCACCTCCTCTGCTCTCAAACGCCCTGGCTGAGATGATGTTTCCAAGGCTTTTCCAAATCTGCTTGATACCAGCCAGCCCTTCTCTGTGGCTCTCAGGTCTGCTCTTTCCTGCTGCTTTTATCAAACGTTTTGTCCCTAACTTTGGTTTCCCAGTCCTACACTCAACTGGGGCTCAGACTCTTTGCGTTCTGCAGCAAGTACATATTCCAAGCTCATCCAAGGTTGGGAGGATCCTGATGTAAATCCTTGACAACATGCAAGAAATTGAAGGGCCCCTCAATCCTTTGGACTGGAGTCAATAGGGGGTCTGATAGGAAGAATTAATTGGTGTGATATGATTATCCTTTCATACCCAAAGCTGAAGATGGTTTGACCTCACTATTTGGTATAACATAGTGGTGTAATAGACACTATTTGCAGGTTGACAATCAGAACAGTGGGTCTGTGATTACTTAATTATTCCTATAATGTTTTTTCTTGACAATGCTGCAAATGTGTTTGAAGTTTCTCAAACCCAATTGCCCATACAGATTATCCATTTTAGATTTCCACAGAGCTTCAAATATCATTCATCTGTGTAGTCCTGGAGGGATCTTTGGGAAAAAATTTTTACATATGATTTCATTTAATGGGCTTATGGTACAGACAGAGTCTGTCAAATAGAGGAGGAGAGACCAAAGCAAGTTGGCATCTTAGGGACTGTGTGTTTGAAGATTTATACAAGTGATTTGAGACAGTCTTCTACTATGGCTAAGAGTAGAAACTTGGCACTGATTTAGCTATATGACCTTGTGTAAACTAATCTCTGGGCCTCAGGCTACTTATGTGTAAAAAGAAAATAATAATGGTACCTAATCCATGTGGGGGTGTTGTGGGGATTAAATGTATAAGATGTAATGTATGTACAGTCTTTAGCATAGCACCTAGTACATACAGCAAAATCAATATTGGAAATTATTTTATTATTGATATGATTATTATTGACTTTGTTAGAACAGATGATTATTAGTCAACAATCTCTTATTACAAGAGTTAAAAGGAAAAAAAATCCTTACTATGTATACTTGTGATGTGACAGTATTTGTTAAATATCTACTTTGGAAAATTTAGAACTAAAGAGTTTTTAAAGCTTTATGTTTAAGTAATTTTCTATTCCAATCTCAACCTTTATGTTTCAATTTCACCCAATCTCTTCTAGTAATCATCTTAATAGATTAAGTAATCTATCACTTGCATACGTTATGTATTATTTTTGCAAATAAATAGTTTTGGGGTAGAGTTTTGGAGGTGAAAAGAAATTATCTAAACTACCTAATTTCTAGGGGCGCCTGGGTGGCTCAGTTGGTTAAGCGACTGCCTTCAGCTCAGGTCATGATCCTGGAGTCCCTGGATCGAGTCCCACATCGGGCTCCCTGCTCAGCGGGGAGTCTGCTTCTCCCTCTGACCCTCTTCCCTCTCGTGCTCTCTATCTCTCATTCTCTCTCTCTCAAATAAATAAATAAAATCTTTTTAAAAAATAAATAAATAAACTACCTAATTTCTTCTTCTACAGAAATTGGTCAATGTTTCACCAGATCTTCCAAAACTCATCAGCTCCATGAATGTCCAACAACCAAAAGAAAATGAAATTGTCCTTCTAAGTGGGTTAACATCTGGAAATCTCCAGGCAGATTTCAAAGTTTCACAGGTAAGACATGTAAGCTCTTGGTAAAATATTCATTAGTGATAAGTTATCTATGGTCAGTTCTTGGCACAAGTCAGTATGAACTTCAAACAGATGCTACATGTAAGCTCCCAGAGCATAGGACCCCAAAATCTCTTTGTAATCAAGAAGAGTCTTCTTTCTATTTCTTCTAAATATGCCACTCAGAGTTTGAGAGAGCTTCCCTTACCTCAAAGCCTAACATTTATTATCTTCTTAAGTTCATGATGCTAACTTGCACTTAAACTAGAGCAGACACAGTGGGCATTGACTGCTTAGCTTGGTTTTCTTCAAATCTATTAGGTAATCAAAAACAGACTCGTCTTCTGTTTCACAAACAATACCAAAATTCTAATTCATACCATATGGTCCCAGAATCCTAGCATTTCTTCTTTATTCTTATATCTATTTCTTAGGATATACTAAATGAGCCAGGCTAATAAATATAGGATAACAACCCTATGGATGGAAAGTGAGTTTCCTAGAAAGAGTGAAGTGAATGAGTGAGTCCTTAAAGAGTGAATTTTCCTTAAAGAGTAAAATTCCTAGAAGAAATGAGCATTACTAAAAATAAAGCAGGAATTCAGACACTATTATTCTCTTTCAGTGTACTGATGTTCATTGTTATTAGATAAATCATTATAACATTCTTTAAATTCTTACAATTCTAAATCATCTAGGCGATTTACAGAAACAAATATAAGATTTCTAAAGGCACACTGTATCTCTCTGTACCCACTATCAGACAAGTCTCTTCCCAGGAGGAGGCACTATCCCTTTGGGTTCAAGTTGAGCAAGAGTGAATGTCTCCTCCAGGTGGCTCACAGCAAAAGTCTAATTGTGTTCTATTGGGTCTCATGTGTCATGTGCCCATTTCTGAACCAATCACTATGGCCTGAGGATTGCAGTGTTCCAACTGGCCAGGCTGGGTCACATGATCACCTCAGAGTTTGAGGTCAGTTAACTCCATGTAAATCACTTGGACTGTGAGTAGACCAGAAAATGGTGCCCCACACGGTATGAAAACCAGAAGAAGATTGAATGATGTGGTGTTACAAAAGCAGCACAGATGTTAATTGGGGTCAGGGAAAGTCCAAATGCCCAGCACTCATCAAATATCATCCATCAAAAACATACTTAACATTCTGCATACTTTTCCTAAGAGCTGTCAAGAATTGCCTGTGAGCTGTAGCACTCTTAAACATTTCATTCATCTCTATCCCAAGAGTCCCCCTCACTTCCTACATACCACTTCACCCTTCTGCAGTCTCCCAAAGGTCTACCTCATTTTCTAGGTACCACAGTCCATGTATTTTAATAGATCAGCAATGTTGGGCAGCATATCAATATGGAATCCCATGTTAACCAACCATAGCCATAACCTAATTGTTTAAGGATAGTCTCAGTTTGGCTGCCCTGACTCATGAGAGTTAGTTACTTGGTAATCCACAAATAATCATGGAGATACTGGCATAGGCAACTTGAGCTGGGTGAAGGGGGAGAAGTCTAAAGCAGGCCCCAGGGCATAGCTATCGTTCCCAGTGACCCTGTGAAGAAGGGTCAATCAACAAGCCACTTGGCACCTTTGACACAGGAAATTGCAACACCAAAGATTTTTGGTAGTCCAGATAACAAGTTACCTCACCTCTCTCAACTATAATTTCCTATTCTATAAAATGGAGATTTAAAAAAATATCTTTCCTCTATTCTCAGAGACTAGACATAGTGATTTAATAAAATAAGAAGAAGCCACCTTGAGAAGGACTATTCAAATGAAAAGTGTTTTGTTTCCATGTCCAAAAAATTGGATAAAGGTGAAGTAGAAAGAAAATGTTATTTAAAGCAAAATAAGGGGCATCTAGGTGGCTCAGTCTATTAAGTGTCTGACTCTTGATTTCAGCTCAGGTCATGATCTCAGGGTCCTGAGACTGGGCATCACATGGGGCTCTGTGCTGGGCTTGGGGCCTGCTTAAGATTTTTTCTCTCTCCCTCTCCCTCCTGCCTTTCTGTCTCAAATAAATAATCCCAAATAAAAAGATTTCAGAGATGCATATTAGGTACAATAATAAGATCTACTCCTGTGTCTGTCCTTTCTATGAGATGAACACATAATTTTACTGGGCATGCATGAGTTCAAGGAGGTCCAGGTGCAAACCACTCTTCTTTCCAAATTGCACATCCTCAGTGGGTATTGGAGTTTTGCTGATTAGACCAGAAAGCCACAGGGAGAATTGGAAAGTACACAGGAATTGGAGTCCAACAGGCCTGGATTTCGGGGCTGGCTCTTCCATTTTATATTTGTGTAACCTTGAAAGGATCAATTAGCCTTTCTGTGCCTGATCTCTCTACTGTAAAAGAGTAATGGCACCACCAACCTCATAGAAACCATGTGTGCATTAAAGGTAATAGGATAGTCAAGGCACCTAATAGACTACAATAAAAATTATATAATAATACCTGCCATTATTTTACAGGCTGTATCATTTGGCCTTCACTTACTTAAGACTCCTACGATGTTTATTTACTTTCAAGAAGATAGTTAAGAAAATATATTTTCTTTCTACAAACGCAATAGTCATGGAACATTGCACATTTCATACAATCCTTTCTCTAAGTTTATTTTGAGGTATTACTTAACTGCTCATGTTGATTTAATAATATCTCTTTTGATTCCTGCCACAATACATAAAACCTTATGTTATAAATATGTAATCTGAATGATAGGAAATGGCCAATACACAACCCTTTTTACCTATAAATATGGTAACTTCTAGTTCAACTTTATAATTATTTTTATTCATGCCTGATCCACTGGCAGGCTATTGTGCCCCACCCCCCACTCCCTATCCCCCATCTAATTCATGTTTCTACCTCCCAGCATACCTTGCATATAATAGGCACCCAGAAAGTATCTTGTAAATTTCAAGTTAGTGCATTATGTCTGAATTCATGGAAATAAAATTTTAATCAAGCCAGCTACTGTTACTCTACAGCATTAGTTCCTCATCATCATGGGGGAATCTCAGACTCCTTGTGAATTTCATAAAAGCTATAGACCAGTGCTTCTCAAATGTTAATGCATGTGGGAATCACCAAGAGATTTTTCTTGAAAATGCAGTTTCTGATTTACTGGATCTGGGGTGGGTCCTGAGATTATAGATTTCTAACAATCTACCAAGCTGCTAGTCTACAACCCACACTTTGAAAAGTGAGGTTATGAACCCCCTTCCTTGAAAAAAAAACCTAATTACATAAACACATAGATCAATTCTGTTTCTGAGCTCCCTTGGGCCCCTTGGAGAATGACTGGATTTTTCATTTTGTAATCAAGTGTCCTGGAATTATTCTAATCATAATATTCAACCAAATAGATTAATAAATGACATTTATGTAAGAAAAAAGATATACTACTTTCAGAAATACAATATGGATGTCTATGTGTCTGTATTTCTCTGCATGCACACATACTTACCCCTTATACACACATGTATTCAGACTCAAGGATTCCAAAATGGCCAGTTAACTAGGATTAGACCCAATGAACTCTAAATGCAGATAAGCATTTGACTTAAATAATCCTCTTTGTAAGATAAACATGTATGCATAGAATATTTCCCCCAAACATTTCAAATTCCACTTTGATATAAATTTATTTAGCTTTCTCCTCCCCACTAATTCTTGTTTCCATTCAAAGAATTTTCTGTTAAAAATTCGTATGAATCAATGTATTGTCCCTTTTATGAAAATAAAAATCCCAATGCATAAAATATGTTTGTAATTTACTAGTCATCTGTGAAGGAGCAATTGAAACTTTTATTGTTGTTCTAATGAACAACAATATGGAGAGCGAAAAGTGCATAGTGAAGAATAAGGATATGGTCTGTCACCCTAGAACAGAACAGAATTAGTAGGTCTCACAGGGACACCATCCAATGATCTGGGCCTCCTTATTATCACTGCTTTCCTCATATGCTGGCCTTTTAGAAATAATCAGTGCTCTTCCAGGGGACTTCTTTGTACCTCATTGTGTCTGCTTCTTCAGATGAGCAATACACATTATAAATTCTAACTGTAGTTAATAGGAATACTGAAATACTGACAGAGGCTTTACTGAACATCACCAAAGCAGAAAAGGATCTTGGTCTGAAAAGCTGGGACTCGGGTTAATCAAGAAGGGTGCCCAGAACGGCCTCAACATTCCCCTCAGCTTGACTAGACTTCAGACAGTCTTCTTCCCGACTCCAGGCACTGACACCCTTTTCTTAGAACATTTACTTTAGAAAACATCATTAGGAGTCTCTGCCCCTTTGAGATGTAAATCATTTGAAAAGCCTCATGCTGGGTTTAAAGCCCAGGAGTGTCTTTTTCAAAGACCTGAGAACCATCTCTGAAGTAAGATCATCAAAAAGATAGTTTCCCTTTCTCTGTGGAAGGATGGGAGCCTAGATTCAGTAGGAGCCTGACTCCAATTTGCAAAACCACCTCCTGCCATGCAGATACAAGAACCTTAGCTTTTCCTCTGGATAAAGCCAACTAGCAAGAGCAGAAGGCCTGCAGCCCTCTGACACCAGCTCTTAAAAGCCCTCATGCCTTTTGTTTCAGTGGATTTGTGGTCCAGGTCAGTTCTGGCCCCTCTTTCCTACTTTAAGAGCTTTGAAGAAAGTCTTCCTTAACCTATTTAACTCTGCCCAGTGCCACTTTTGCTTTGACAGGAGACAACAAAAATATGTGATGCAACTGGTCTAGTTTCCCTGAAGTCGGACTGTCTTCTAGGTACCCTGTGTGCCTGAATAGCACTTGAATTTTTTTCAAACAATGCATCAGTCGAAGCCCAGAAGATATTCCAAATATTTTAAACATCCCCCACTCCTTGTAACAAGAAAGACTGGTGGAAAAAGAAAGGTCAGAAGCAATGGCTTTTTATTCTCTCTTTCAATAAATGCCTTTTTTCCTCTCACTTTCAGTGCCCTTGGCTGCCAGATATCTGTTTGGTCCAGTGTGCAAGAGGGAACAGGGCAAACAGTACCAACTGCATCATCTTTGAAATCAACAAATTTTTGATCGGTCTCGAACTGGTGCAGGAGCGGCAGCTCCACCTGGAAACAAACATCTTAAAAGTGGAGGATGACACCAACTGCTCTCTGTCTTCAATCGAGGAGGACTTCCTCACCGCCTCTGAGCACTTGGAGGAGGAAAGTGAGGTGGAAGACTATAGGAGCGGTGAGAACTACCCCATGAAACAAAAGCACATCCTGAAATTAGTCACCCTCTAAAAATGAGTGAAATTTCAGGAAAGTTTCAGGCCACGTCAGTTTGGCTGATACATCATAATCTTCACATACCAAGTTTAGGGAGGGCAGGAAGATAACAGACCACGAGTGAGGATGCTGACTCATGCACTTAGACTTGATGGTTGGATGGCTCCATTTTCCTAACGATGCCGTAGGGATGCTGAAGGACGTCCTCCTGCCTGCCGAGAGACTAAGACTAACACAGGGAGGAAAGTTATCTTCCCTGAGACTTCCATAAAGCCACCTATTAGTTGAAGCCAACTTAAACTGGCCTAATTCTAGCACTGCCTCTTTGAGACTGTGAAGCCCGGATTGGTTACCTAGTCCTTCTGAGCCCCAGTTTCTTTATCTAGTATTCGGGAATATAATAATACCTCTAGCACTGTTACATTTACTATATTCAGCTTTATGTATTTATGATATTTACCTTTTATTATGGTAAGGACAGAAGGAAATAACACAGGAGAATACTTAGCACTTAGCATTTATTCAGTTTTGATTGACTGATTCAAAGAGCTCAGTGAACGATGTGTTCCTCTTCCCCATTCTTAGCCACAGAGGAAGGGATATTGCTGATGCTGTTGTCAGTCCCTGGGACAAGTCCTACCCAAACTTCAAAGCAAAGTTTTGCAAGAAGGCTTACTATGGAGGTTGCTGTAAACATTCTTCCTCCTCCTTCCATTTGCACTAGGAAGCTCTAAGATGCAACTGTCTGGGTTACTTTTCCCATGGAGCCATGGAGAAAGATGATCAAGGGCGCCTGGGTGGCTCGGTTGGCTAAGCATCCGCCTTCAGCTCAGGTCATGATCTCAGGGTTCTGGAATCAAGCCCCCTCATCGGGCTCCCTGCTCAGCAGGGAGTCTGCTTCTCCCTCTGCCTCTGTCCCTTCCCCACCCCCTCGTGTTCTCTCTCTCAAATAAATAAATAAAAATCTTTAAAGAAAAAAAGAAGAAAGAAAGGTGATCAGCACTCAGCTCCCCAGTGCTATCTTCTCCCACTCTAGTGCTGACATTAATATCCCACATTGAAAGCCATTTTGTTGAGTGGGGCTCCATAATGAAACTCAAAAACCTCTTCAGATTCACTTGTCTTGAAGGAACATTCTAAATGCTGTTTGGGGGGGGAGGGAAACCCCGGTACTATAAGGCCTTTTTTAAAAATAATTGTTAATTTAGACTCATGAGATCCTGCTATCCAAAAAGTAATAGGGGGCCCTCATTTTGTCTTCACTAGGTGATGAAAATATAAATGTCTCCGCTAATGTTTTGGAAAGTAAAAAACCAAAGGAAGCCACTCAGGAGGGATGGAATTACAACAAGGAAAAGTTGCTTTATGCTTTGGAAGACAAACGTATTGGCAAATATCATCCAACGATGAAAGCAGAAGGATCTCTGGAAAAAGTAGCAGCAGACACCACTTTGCAGAGCCTCGATGCGTCGGAATGGAAAGATGAAGCTGTGCAGAAGGAGAGGCCAACCACAAATTATTACTATTCAGGAAATGTTAAAGGTCACATGGAAAAATCCCAGGCACCGTATATTCCAGGGGATGCTTACTTCTCCAGGATGGTTAAGAACGGTGGGCCTCCCGTCTATGGTGCCCTTGCTGAGCGTGACAACAGCTTAGACCCAGGGGACCGTGAAGATGGTATAAACTCCCTTCCTCCCAAACAAGATGGAGAAGCCACAACTGGAGAGTATGCTACAAATTTAGCAGAATCGGTGCTGCAAGACGCATTTATTCGGTTGTCCCATTCTCAGCCTACACCGCCCCAGGAATCGGCAGTCAGTGTTTCTGTTGGAAATGCTCTGCTACCCAGTGGCTCTTCCACCAAAGGTATGGTGGGCCCTCGGTCATGGGATGAGCTCCCCAAAATCGTCATTGTTCAGAGTCCAGACGGCAGTGATGCCACGCCTGAGGTGGGCATCGCCTCATGGTCTGAGGTGGAGGTCTCTGTTGAAACCTCAGGTGTCCTCTCTGGAGAGAAGTCCAGCAGACACCCTCAGAGTGCTGTAGAAGTCGCATTGGCTTGTGCGGCCACTGTAATTGGAACCATTTCCAGTCCTCAGGCCACAGAAAGGCTCAAAATGGAGCAAGAATCTTTGGTTTCACCCCATCCAGTGGGAGGCAATGAACCGCTGCAGACTCAAATATCCCAAGTGCTCAAAGAGCCATCCATCAGTGAATACTCCTTTCCATCTGCTCTGTGTGGCATGACTCAGGTGGCGAGTGCCATTGCTGTGTGTGGCCTGGGTGAAACAGGAGAGGCGAAGACTCCCAGAGGCCTCTCGTGTGCAGCTGAGGCCTGTGCAGCGGCCCCCTCGCCTTGCAGTCTAGTGACAGTGGGGAACCTAGAGCTGGGAAATGAGGCCATTGCTTGGGCATTGCTCAAGGAAGCTGCTCTGGTTTTAACAAGGCCCAATCCCTGCAGCGGCATTGGAGACCTCATGGAATCAATGAGCAAGAGAATCATAGAAACTGCTTCAAAGCCTCAGATCTTGTGCTCCGAAAATGTCCTCAGGAATGACCTGGCACAGACCCTGTCCAATGTTATCCTGAAGCAATGCATTGATGAAGCTCACCAGAAAAACAAAATAATTGATCCCAACGATAGCAGGCATTCACCTGAAACTCTTGACACCTTGATGGAAAGTGCAAATCAGCTGCTCTTCAGTGTGATATGCTTCACGTTCAAGAAGATGAGTCATTTTGTACAGGTTGGGGAAGGCCCCACTGCCCTCACTAATGAGACCATCAGCTGGACAGAAACAGAATTTGGCTGCCGGCCACCTGACCAGGCTTCTGGTCTAACATGGACCAAAGCCATTGAATATTCCAGCAGCTATCCACTTAGCAATTCATGTAGCACTAGTCTTGTAGATGATGTTTATCTGAAGCAAGATAGCAAGGGCCCAGCAAAGCCAGGACTCTTCAAGAAACCCATGCTGCAATCTGAATTGCCCTGTAGTCCCAGAGTGCCTGAATCTTCAACTGCTAAAACACCCCCCAGAGAAATATATCGAAAAGGAACCGCAGGAGAAGATCCAAACCACCCTCACCAGATGCTCAGGCACCATGAGGATGAGTACAGAGCCCCTTCGGAGGGAGAATGGACACTGGCAGTGGGCAAGGGCAGCAGAGGTTCCCAGGATGCAGAGGACGGCACCAGTGCAAACACCCAGGAGAAGTATAATCGTGCCTCCCCTCTAAACAATGAAGTTCAAGTGAACCGGTCTTTGTTAGGGAATGACTTGCTGCTTCCTGCTCAATCCATGCTACAGGCAAAACATGCAGATATACACTGCATTACAGATTTTGCGGAAGAATTAGCAGAGATGATTGTCTCCATGGCAACTGAAATCGCAGCAATTTGCCTTGACAACTCAAATGGAAAACAACCCTGGTTTTGTGCATGGAAGAGAGGGAATGAGTTCCTGGTTACCCCGAACGTATCCTGCCGGTCCTTGAAGAAGAAGAAGGAAAGCCAGACCAGTGGGGCCACAGTGAGGAAGCACAAGCCACCAAGGCTCAGTGAGATCAAGAGGAAAACGGATGAGCACCCAGAGCTTAAAGAGAAGCTGATGAACAGGGTTGTGGATGAGTCAATGAATCTTGAGGATGTCCCAGATTCTGTCAATATTTTTGCAAACGAAGTGGCAGCCAAGATCATGAACCTAACAGAGTTCTCAATGGTGGACGGCGTCTGGCAAGCCCAGAGCCATCCCCGGAACCGCTTCCTCAGCGGAGACAGGTGGAACCGACTGAAGGCCTCTAGCTGTGAAAGCATCCCAGAAGAGGACTCTAATGCCCAGGCTTATGTTAATAGCCTAGGTTTAATGAGTACCTTAAGTCAGCCAGTTAGCAGGGCCAGCTCTGTCTCCAAGCAGTCCAGCTGTGAGAGCATCACTGAGGAGTTTTCCAGGTTCATGGTGAACCAGATGGAAAATGAAGGAAGAGGGTTTGAGTTACTCCTGGATTACTATGCGGGCAAGAATGCCAGCAGCATCCTGAACTCAGCCATGCAACAGGCATGCCGTAAAAATGACCACCTCAGTGTGAGGCCAAGCTGTCCCTCTAAGCAGTCCAGCACTGAGAGCATAACCGAGGAGTTTTATAGGTACATGCTGAGGGACATTGAAAGAGAAAGCAGAGACAGCACCTCCTCCAGACGAAGCAGCCAGGATTGGACAGTTGGCTTACTGTCACCTTCTCTGCGATCCCCATTGTGTTACAGGCAGTCGTCCATGCCAGATGGCAGATCTCTGGGTGCCAGGCTGACGGTGAATGCGCCCATCAAAGCCAACTCTTTAGATGGCTTTGCTCAAAACAGCCAGCAAGATTTCCTAAGTGTACACCCAGTCAGTAGCACTTCCTCCTTGGGTCTCTGCAAATCTGACTCTTGCTTGTATCGGAGAGGCGGAACTGACCAGATCACCAACATGTTAATTCATGAGACGTGGGCAAACTCAATCAAGGCCCTCATGCGGAAGAACAAAATTATAGTGGATGATGCCGAGGCAGCTGAGGTTGAGCCTGTTTCTGGTGGCTCTCCCATGCAAGTGGAGAAATGTGCAAACAGATCAGCTTCGAGCAGAGTGCAAAGTGGGCCAGCTCTTCTTGTTCAAGAGTCCATTGGTAACCCAAGGGAAGACTCCATTACCGAAAGCAAACATCCCCCAGTGTTGTCTCCGAGCAAAGCTGCTCCTCTTACAAACCACAACAGTTTAGATTCTTTTAAAAAGGAAACTTTGTGCCATGGGGCTGTGCCTGTCAACCACGCCAGGCGGTCACTTTGCTCAAGGGAAGTGCCTTTAATTCAGATTGAAACAGATCAGAGAGAAGAGTGTGTTGGAGAATCTGAACACTCCCCCTCCAAAAGCAGCCCCCTACAGGAAGCAGAGGAGCATTTGAAAGATGAAAATGTCCCAGATGTGATGAGGGGTGGAGACACTGCCATGAGTGCCTGCCAAAACCCTAGGTGAGTGAATGACCCCTTAGACTAGATAGGGTGCATGGTACTGGAGTTTGCATCTTAATTAGTATTTATTCTAAATCCTAGGGGCTTTACTGAGGTGAGAACTGAAATCCTGAGACAATAAATGACCTTCCTGGGTTAATATACACTTATAATAGAAAGTTGGAAGTGATTTTTTAAAATTTCTAAAACAAATGGAGCTCATCTATATAATGGAGGAAATAGAGTTTCATTTTCCTCATGAAAATTAATATCCCATACTATGTTACCTCTTAAAATTCATTCATGGAAATTTTCAAGCAAAAAGGAAAATTATGTCAACGTATTTGAAAAAAAGTTAAATTTAAATAAATTTTAATATTGGAATCTGACATTAAATATTTTGGTATCATTTCTCTATCATCTCTCCTTTCAAGTTTTTCTGTTTTGTTTTGTTCTAAAGATCTTTGCAAGGACACCTTGTCCCACAAATGCTGGACCTTTAGATGCATGGTATAAGCATGGCAGTGTTACAAAGTAAAATTAGAATTTTGCTATTTCAATAGTTCCTTTCCAGAAAATTGTAGTGTAAGTGACAATGCATTTTGAATTTGAGATAAAGGAATTATTTCTTTCCAGGTTCTTAAGGAAGAATCAGTCTTTTTACATCTCCCCTTTCACATAGAAAATTCATAATATTCTTGAATATGAGACCATTGTGTCAAAATTTATTATTAAAGTTTAGTTGACATACTATATTAGTTTCAAGTACACAGCACAGTGATTTAACAGTTCTACTATACATTACTCAGTGCTCACAAATGTAGTCACCATGTGTCACCATACATTATTATAGTATTATTGACTATAATCCCTATGCTGTACTTTTCATCTTCATGACTTATTTTGTACTTTTTTTGTCTCTAGCTAAATAAAACAGAAAAAAAAAAACAGATATTAAGCTACTAGCCTTGGAAAACGTTAAGTTGGAGAAATAGCCTATGTAGTCTTTTCAGGGGCATATTTCTATTGTACAAAGAGCCTGTTATTTAGGTGCAGTAGGCAAGTTGAACACAGTCTTCATCAAATTTCAGCTGCTCTAGAAAATCCCTAATACTTCCCCACCCCTACAAGGGAAGCAAGAAAGGTGCTCTCTATCACTATAGGGCATCATTACAAGGTGTGGGTGGTGATGGTCCAGGTGCACCTGAGTATTTCCTTCTTAGCCACTTAGTGCTGAGAACTTTCCAATTGAATTAAATCCTGGAACAATTCAAGGGGGAAAAAAAACATGAAAACTTACAAGCAAAAGAACATAAAATTAAACAAAGTGGAATACAGGCCAAGCTGACCAAAACTAATTCATACGTATCATAATTCTCCAGCTCTAGATAATACTTATCAATGTCTTATAGGAATACCAATACCTCACTTTAGTGTTCACCACCTCCAGGAAGTATGGAGAAACAAGTTTTTAAAAGTGATCAAAGAGTTGAAGAAACAAAATACCGAAGTGATATTCTTTAGAATTACCTTAACATGAGATATATGAAAATGGAAAAGTCTTATTTTAGATTCCAGGTGTCTGACTTAGAATCTTCTTCAACATCTTCATAAACCACCCGAGAATTTTAGCCCAAGAAAGTTACCTAGTTAGGGAGCATTTATGAAGACAAGATTCATGGCTGCAGGCTCAAATCAAATACTGATTGCCACTGAAGTAAAATAATATTCGTTATAAAGTTTTGAGTGAAATATCACTAATATTATGATTAAAATAGATAAAACCTGGACACTTCCAAATTATTGGGGAAATATGCATGAATAAAGCTTCCCGCTAATTTAGATTTATATTCTATATAAGGACCCGAGCACACATTCTCTCAACTCATGATATGGACTTCTGATTTGGTTTTCCAACAACCAAAGAAAAAAGAATGTAGAATCATCAGTCTTAGAAATTCAAGAGCTGAATCTGCTTCCAAAACATAAGGACATTGAATATATTTTTCTTTGTGGAGCAATATAAAGAATTGTTATAGAACTCCACTAACTAACCTAGAGCAAATTCCCTAATCTCTCTATGTCAGTTTACTCACCAATAGGGATAAAGCTCTTAACTCAGTGCCTAGCCCATTAGAAGTACTCAATAAATGTTTACTTTATGGTCGTTTTTGTTGTTTGGAGTTAGGGTATATGATTGCCTTTATTTCGAGAAATGTTTTTTTCCCAAGAGAAACCTGTTATGGACTGTGTGAAAATTTTGTTAAAACAGATTTACAAGGGGGAAATTAGTTATATTTAGATCACATTTTCTAAGCTCAGCATTGTAATTAGGGGATTTGATATGTCAAAATACAGAACTCAGTTCTCTGAAATAATTCCTGCCTTCCTACACAGAGGGAAGGAGGTGACACAGACACTCTTGATTCTGTTTGGCCATACGGAGGTGTCATGTCCTGAAGATATTTTTAGGCTATTTTTTGAAGGACATTTTCATAATTCTGCTGAAAACTTCATAAAAGCCCAACATACTGAAATAAAAATCACTTTCTTATTTTTTTATTTGAAAAAAGAGTAACAATTTCAGAATTCATTATGGAAGCCATGCCCAAATGGAAATAACTGTTGTATTTGAAACTGCCACATTTGTCCAGATACCTGAATAATCCATCAATTATTAAGGTAAATGATTGAGGATAGCCCAATTCTTGATTTCTGGGAAAATCGTATCCTATTGGTGGGCAGTAATGTGTCCTTAACTCAGCTGCCCTCTCTGAGATTATTGAAGAGCAATTATATAACTTTTTGATAATTTGAGATCATAAGGTATAAACACCAAGCTGAGAATTCTGAGCATTCACATGTCGCCCTTGTTGGCATAATCTGGTTTTTTAGAAGTATATTTTATGTTTTGTTTTTATTTCTATTTGCTACAAGAAAACAATCATCCATCCAACGAATATTTGCATGTCTATTCTGTGATACACACTATCCTTGGGGCTAAACACACAATAGAAAATAGAGATTTAGTACCTGCTGTCATAGCTCCTACACACCCAGTGGGAGAGAAGACAATATGCATGGAAAGACCCTTTGGGAAAAGATAATTACAGTGTGTTAGGAGAGGGAAATAAAAAGAATAATGTGATGGAGAACAACTGGTTGGGGAATGTGTTTACTTAAGATAGAATGTGGGCATTTGGATGAGACCTAAGGGATGAAAGGGTGCCAATCATGTAAAGAATTGAAGTGGAAGATGTACATTTGTGTTTCAAGCAGTACTGGTGTTCTAGCTAACCTAAAAAATCTTCCCACCACAGACCACGTAGAAATCCCACATTAAATATTGTAAATACCCTTTTGAATACAGGGCTGACCTTAACAGTATTAATAAATGATGATGAAAATCTCGGAGGCAGAAAATGAAAGGCTATAGAAACAAAAGTAGTAATTCTGTGCTTGCTCTTGAGGCCTTGCCAGTCTCCCTAACCTACAAGTTCATTTTCTAAAAGCTAGTGAAAACTGGGAAATAAGATTGTGGGTCCATGATTGGTGAAGACTTAGAAATGACACCAACCTCCATATCCTGAAGTGTTACGTCGTCAGAAAAAGTAAAAACTTAGTAAAAAACGTTAACTCACCAGAAAAGGAGTTGATAAGAAGATGTATCTTTTGGGGTTAGGGCTCTAGGTAAAAGTGAGAAAATCCTCTAAGAATTTATAACCACAGCTTCCCTAATGCATATGTGAGGTTCTAATTTACGCAATCTGTGTGGTCCAGAAAACCGCAAACTGGTAAATTAACTTAAAGCAATTTCAGGTTAACAGCACAGTGAGACCTTCAAAGAGACAACAATAAATCCCTGGGTATTTAAGCCCAAGACTCAAAGGATTTCAGTAGGTAAAGCCCCATCAAATAAGGGTTCAGAACCTCAAATCACAAGATAAATTCTACTTCTGAAACTAATTCTAAAACTGTAAAAAAATACAAGTAAAAAAATAACAAAGAAGCAGAAAAATGTCACCAATAACCAATAGGATAATCAGTCAATATAAATATATTCAGGAAGTAGAGAGATGATGAAATTAGCAGACAAAAACTTTAAATAGTTATTACAAACATGCTCCAGTATTTGAAGGTACACATGAATATATAATTTGGTGAAAATTATAAACTCACAAATCAAGAAGTACAATGAATCCTAAGCAAGATAAACAAAAAGAAAACCACATCAAGGCACATCATAATCAAACTGTTATAAGCCAAAGACAAAGAAATAGTCCTAAAAGCAGCTCAGAGGAAAAAACAACTTACATACTGAAGAACACAAACATTTCAGGTTTCTCATCAGAAAAAAATGAAAGCTAAAAGATGAAGAATGACATCTTTCTTGTGCAAAAGGAAAAAACTGCCAGCTTTGTATTCTCCACTTAGCAAAAAATAAAGGCTATCCTTGGATAAGAAGACTCAATATTGTCAAGATGTCAGTTCTTCCTAACTTGATTTATAAATTCAGTGCAATCATATTCAAAACCCCAGCCTGTTATTTTGTGGATATAAATGAAATGATTCCAAAGTTTATGCAGAGACAAAATACCCAGAATAGCCAAGACAATATTAAAGGAGAAGAACAAAGTCAAGTTGCCACTACCTGGCTTTAAGACTTACTATAAAGCTATAGTAATCAAGACAGTGTGGCATTGGCAAAAGAATGAACAAATGGATCAGTGGAACAGAATAGAAATTCCAGAAATAGATCTACACAAATATAGTCAATTGATTTTTGGCAAAGAATCAAAGGCAATACCATGGAAAAACGATAGTCTTTTCAAGAAATACTGGTGGAATAACTGGATATGCACAGCCAAAAAATGAGTCTAGAAACAAAACTTACACTCTTCACAAAAATTAACTCAAAATGGATTCTATATCTAAATGTAAAATTTAATAAACTGTGAAACCCTAGGAGATGACATACGAGAACATTCAGGTGGCCTTGGGTTTGGTAATGACTTTTTAGA